CTGTGCATCAGACCATTGATAATGTTGTAGAAGCCATTCCTCAGGACCAGCAGGGGGCACTGTAGACCAACCAATCCCTAACAGGTACTGATAGAAAAGCTGAGCACTGAGGGGATTTTAACAGCCTCTGTGGACTTCACTGCCAGCATCACAACATCCAGCGACCATGTGCAGTTGACAATTGAGATTCTCCATGTTACTACCCTGGAGAGTTTCTTTGTTACAGAGAATGAGTATGTGAGCCTACCCTGAGCCAAATTTAATTCCTATTGTTACTATATAGGAAATTAGGCAATGGACTGTTTATCAGTATAGGTTAAGGATATTATTACTTCAGGATCCAGTTGATATCAGAGGTTTCTATACTCCTCCTGGTCACTGGTGTAGGATTGGTCATAAGGAACATGGAGGCGTTTACGATCAATGAAATAGAACAAATCAATATGAGTTGGTATATAGTCCTCCCAGTGGAGAGTGAATGGGAGAACTCTAGAAATCAAAGTACACATGTATTTAGGGAAATCTCCTTCACCCTTTGCACCAGCTCATTAAATAGTGCGATCATCCTATTAGTTTAGTCTAACAGAAGAATCTCACATCATTTCTCTCAAATCTGCAAGAACTAAGACTTTTGGGAATGTGCATCATTATTTTATGAGGCTGTGTATGAAAACTGCTTAGGCCAGCAAGAAGTCCTGCACATTGACACTCAAAATAGCCTGTCAGTAACCCACCATGCTGGACAATAAAATGTAATAATACAGTCATTATTAAAAAGGCCAGATTAGAATATGAAATCCCAGATGAGCCCATCCAGCACCCGGAATTGTGAGAAAGTGTTCCTCTACAATAAAGAGGGTGTTGCTCTGTAGAATGACAGTATACAGCACCTCATGTCAATTCTCACCAAGGAGAAAAGAGAAGCCAGCCAGGTCCCATGGCTATATTAGGTACATTGTTGCAAAGTGTATATATATACTGACTTTCTATGGCCTGCATTTTATATGCCATACCCTTCAGACATTTAAGGCCAAATGCATACAAAATCTTACTTCATGTTATTGGCTCTTCCAGTTCTTGGAAACATTACATATCAATCCATTATCTGTTAAAAGTTTTAGCTCCAGAAAACCTTTACTGACAAATGCCTTGTCTGGGAGAAGAGGATCCTGGACTTGTAAAGGTAGGTATGTCAAGAGAAAGATGTCTAATGTCACATACCCTTCACCCATGGAGATCCTTGGTCAGGATTCATGTTGAGTCACAGCCTGAATTTGCTTGACACCTATTTCTTCTCAGTTGTGAACACATTTTCTGCCGTTGCTAACTGATCTGTGAGTACCACACCGGGTTCCTCCTCTTCCGTTGACTCCTGTATCTCCACATCTGCAGAATTCTTATGTGGATGTCTGATGGGCTGCATCTGAAATCAAGACACATTGTGGTTACTTGGTGCAGGTGCTCTGATGCAGGTGTAGCCTGATTGTTGCAATTTAAGACAAGTGGGGTGTGAGAGAAAGGCGCCATGTGTCAGGGTTCAAGCAGAGGGTTTTTTATTTATAAAAAGGGGAGAGAGAGAGAGAGAGAGAGAGAGAGAGAGAGAGAGAGAGAGAGAGAGAGTGGGACAGATAGAGAGAGAGGGAGAGAAAGAAAGAGAGACCAGGGGATGGGAGGTGGGCAGGGCCCTTTAAAAGGGAACATCGTGAATGTGCACAGGTGGTGCTCTTAGTAGCTGCAGCTGAGGGCATATCCTGTCAGAACCCGAAGGGCAGGCCAATACAGATGCTTGAATAAAACTATAAATGCTTGATGAACCCATCAGTGATCCTGCATTCTCCTATAGTTACTGCGATACCGGTGGGTACTGCTGGAGCTGGATCAAACTGTGATGATTCTGACATTCAAAGGGACAGTGATAATACAGGCACAACTTCCAGGCACTAACTGCAGAAAAACAAGACCCACTTATCCCTGCAGCTGAGCTCTGTAAACACTGACTTTACAGGGATATGATACTGCTCAAGAGAGAATATGAGACTTCAGTGTAAGCCAAGATAAATCTAACTGTAGCGGACGGAGCTCAGGGCCAGCAGGGGGCACAATGGAGCCAAGAATCAACAGGACAGAAATGAGATGAGGAGCTGAACTACTTTTAGCAGCTGCTGTTTATATGTCAAGTTCCATGTTCAAACAGAGAAAAGATTATTAAATATTTCAGAGATTTATATTTTATCATTTTTCAGCTCCACTTATTTTTTTTAAAAACATGTTTCATTCAATATATTCTGATGACGATTTCCCCTGTCATATCTTCCTGACCCTTAACTGTCCCCACACACTGACCTCCACAACCTTTCTTTCACTCTACAAAAAGAAAACAGGGAAAAAAGAGAGTATTTTTACAATACAAGCAACAAACACACCCAAGACAAAAGACAATGCATAATTAAAACACAAGTTAAAGGAACCTCATTTATATGCAGAATAACATTAAGACCAAGACTGGAATCTGGTCGGCTCTGTGTACGACGTCACAGACACTGTATAGATTCCTTTGTGCATCATTCTTAGTGTGTCTGGAAGACACTGTATCCTTAGATTCATAATCTATACAGTTTTTAAATTCTTTCCCTCAGTAAGGCATAACTTATTTATTTTGTGCAACCACGAACAATGGCATCACGTCATACTGTATCCAGCATGCCTGGGACCTCTCTCATTGTTAACCTATAGGGAGATACCATGTACCCAGCAGTTGAGATGTTCAATAACTTGTGTTATTGGGAGCAGAACTGTTCATCCATTCAGGTACCTCTGTTCAATGATTCAGTGGTGAAAATAAAATACGAAGAATGTCTTCATACTTTACATTCAGGTTTCTGTGGATATATATCTCACATAAAATGATCAGAACCAGGCCACTGAGACAAGACTCTTAACCAAACGGCAAGTCTTATTTGGACATCATCAGTTTTGCACGCACTTTTATCAGTTTTATTGTTTTTGATAAAAATACTGTAACAGCAGATCCACAATACCGAATCGTAATCTAGGCACAAATTTATTCCATCAACGTGAAAAATAACCCATGGCACAGTTGCAAACCTGGGCACCTATGTACTACCCATTATTTCCAGTCTTTCAATTACAGAAAAAACACTGCTACTCATGTGACTTCCCATTCCATACATCACTTTCCTCGACCCTTCATATTTGCCATGTTACATGCATTCTACGTACTGTGTAGCTATATTTTCACTTTCATTTCAAGAACCTACATTCCAATGCCATTTTCTTATAACTGTTAAATTAATTCATATGAACTAATCTTATGCTCACACCCAATAGATTAGTGCTGCTCTCAGCTTCGATCACACAAGCTTCTGTGCGCTGTGTAATGATCAGTGCAGACATTCATGGCTGGTCAAACCGCTGAGAATGGGTGACAGAGGGCTGAGGAGTCATGGGCATCAACCTTCGTCTCAATATCCCACCCCCTAAATCACAGACCATCAAGAAACATTGAGAAGAGAGAATGTAATGTTCAGGGAATGAGGTTGAAAGGCATGGCAGTCTATCTACATGGGTTGACATACTCTCATTGCATAATTGAACTCTCAGCAGTCGTAGTTACCAGCACAAGACCTGCCCAAATCAAACCAGTCAAAGGTACAGGATGAGAGCCCGTGCAAAGGCTAAGCAGGTAAAAGTGCCTCCTGGCACAATCCCAGCCTGATATCTGAGAGCCATAATTTGGAAGAAGAGAAATGACCCCCATAAGTTGTCTTCTAAATTTCACACACAGGCTTTGGCACACATGTGCCCTGACCTCACTGATGAAATGTGTTTTAAGAGATTATAATGCAGATGGGAGAGGGACTCCCCAAAGACATTTCCAAGCTGAGGGGCTGTAGGGTTTGGGAAACTGCTTAGGAAGTTAGAATCATCATTTCTTAGGAGCATGTCTACTTGGAGGTTACTTATGAGCTATTGGATAACCCCCACCATACCCATACGGACAGCATTAATTAGACTTAGTGAGCTATTCATTAATAAAACAAAATAGATCAGTATGTTGGGAGAGAGACCTGTTGTTAGTGAGAACATAAGGGGAGCAAGACGGATATAGACTGGGAGGATATGATCAACATATATTGAATTCACCCATAAAAATTGCAAGGAATGTACAAAAACGTTATTTGAAAATAATATTCCATATGTTTAGTATTTTCACACATGTTTATATTGGACCCTTTCCTTGCTACTATTATTCCAATTCTCGACTTTATTTATTAGTCATTTTCAGTTCTATGTCATTATGTATGTACATATGTAATTGTTTCTAACTGTAATAACTAAGGACTACAAATAAGACTCATACAATATACTTAACAATATCATCACCAATGGCATTCATTTTCCTAAATGTGATGTAAGTTCCTATACTTTACTGATGAATAAATTGTATCGTGTACCATGTTTGTCGATGCAATCACTTGTTGAAGGACAAGTATTTGTTATCTATAATTTATATATTATAGATAATGCTGCAATAACACTTGTATGTCAATGTTTCTGAGACATTTTTACTTTTGGTCCTTTGGATATATAGATATCCTGATAGAAAGCATTTACTAACTTCCTGGATATGAAAGAAGTTTTGAAATCCTTATCATAGCCACAGTCTTAAATCAATTTTGTCACCGTGATGTGTGACCATCTCTGACTATAGTCTATTAGTGAAGTGAGTGCTTAGGCCTTAATGTTATATCCACAGGTCTGCACAGGGCTTGGGGAATTAGTATGGGATGCATTTGCTCAGACAGCATTTGGACTTGGACTTTAGCATTCTGCTGCCTGACCCAAGGTCTTCTACATCTTTCTTCTCCAGCCAGACTAGGTCCTCATATAAGTACCTTGTCATATGAATATGCAAATCATGTGAGCTTATGGTGGTAAATACAGGGATGTCCACACCACCAACAACATATGATCAGTGTCCTCTCCACAGTCACTGAGCACACAGGTCTTCACCATGGGATGGAGCTGGATCATCCTCTTCCTGGTGACAGCAGCTACAGGTAAGGGCAACAAGTTCCAGACTTGAGGAGGGGCCATGCACTCAGGTGACAGTGACATCCACTCTGCCTTTCTCTCCACAGGTGTCCACTCTCAGGTCAAGCTGGAGCAGTCTGGGGCTGAGCTGGTGAGGCCTGGATCCTCAGTGAAGCTGTCCTGCAAGACTTCAGGATATAGCTTCACTGGTTACTATATGCACTGGATGAAGCAGAGGCCTGGACAGGGCCTGGAGTGGATGGGGGTTCTCAACCTTAACAGTGGCAGCACAGATTATGCACAGAAGTTCCAAGGACGGGTCTCCATGACCAGAGACACATCCATCAGCACAGCCTACATGGAGCTCAGCAGCCTGACATCTGAGGATTCTGCAGTCTATTTCTGTGCAAGAGACACAGTGTTGCAACCACATCCTGAGTGTGTCAGGAACCCTGGAGGAGCAGGAGGCTGAGATGACAGAGAAGATCAGCCTGGAGACTCTCTAAGACATAATCATTTGAGTGGTGATTTTTCTGCCTCCTCCTCACAGTCCTACGTGTCTTTTTCAACTTTTCCAAGTTACAACAGCAAATAAAATGATCGGGTGACCCTTTCCATTTACACGTTTCTCCTATAATAAAACGCTAAAGGGAAAACTGTGACAATGCATAGTGACAAAAATATCTCTGAACTCTAATACACTGGAACTTTGGATGTAGTATCTTTGAATAAAACAGATTATGAATTTTAGCAGTAAAGCCAAATAAACAACACGCGAGCAAGCCCAAACACCTCTCATAGTCTTAAATTTTAAGAAACCTAAATTTGTGTTTCTATCTCAGGCTGTGTTGTCTAGCAGAACTTCCTGCATCTAACAATGTTTGAAATCCTCATCACTTTCACAGAAGTGTTATTATTGTAAGCTAAACAAGTGTATTATTGAATTACTTTTCATTAAACTCATTTCTTGACACAATGACACAATGTATATACATGCTAATTAAGAACAGGTTTGAGATTATGCATAATAATCTCTTAAGTGTATTGTCATTCCAATCCCAGTACACTGGCCCACAGTCTCATGCATTTACCAGACACTGACCTGTGCTGTTACACCATCAACCTTTACAGTCCACTGGATATCTTGAAGTCACCCTTGTTCTATAGAGTGCTTGGTTTTGTATAACTGGGCCAATAGCGAGCATCATGGAGACCTGCAGTACTTGACAATCTCAAAGATTTGAATCAGGAAGAAGTGTCTGTAGCACAGAGCATTAATTTTGCATGTTCCTCTACCAGACATAATTTACCTTGAAATATGGATGCCATGAACTGAGTATGGAGGAAACATCATATGATGATCATGTTGTGGCATGTATCACCTGTGCCGATTCTATGTTAGAGATCATGCAAACCTATGTTTAATTTAAAATACTGTTTGAAATACCGGTGACCTCATAAAGCACATACTGTCTTCTCCAATGGGAAGTGGGGAATGATCAGAAGGCAAGGGAATCTTCCCATTCTAGTCTGTGAATTGAACAAGACTTCAATGTACTAGCAAGGCATCTGTCTCGTGGCTGTAAGACCTTGATACGAGGAGCTGTCTGTTACATGATGGTGAGTCATTCTGAAGTGCCCCGAACACTTCAAAGGGCATGTCATCAGGAAGACATGAACATGTGAGAACATTAGAGCATGGCTGTGTGGGAGCTCAATGCGATTAGCCAATGACATTTGGGATTTGCTTCCATTATGCTTGTGATTTTCTCTGATAAGTGACCAAATACGACTTAAGGCGAGGAGTCCTGTGTTGTCTCTCCCTTGCACACTGAAGGCTTCTGGTCATGAGCTTTTCTCCATCCTTATCTGGAATAGGAAGAGGCAATGGTGTCCCTTCCCACTGTATTCAGGAGTTTGTGTCCCTATTTCATGACTTAAGAAGTAAGTCTTCCTTGAAAACATCCGTGGATTTCACACAATACATGGCCTTCATAGAGTCCAGGCTGCAGACTCCTCTCCATCCTGTGATGATGGCAGACATAAGACCTTGCCTATGCAGAAGACATTAACAGCGACTTGACCCCTAAGGATGTTTACACCAACATTCTACACACAGAGACGTCATAAAACATTTGCAAGCAGAGTTTTCCAATTGTTTATTTTATCAATCAAAGTATATTTACTTAATTACTTTTCTTCAGTCTTGTGGATCTAAACCCAGGCTCAATATTTGGTTGACTACCAAGGTATATTTACAAATCAATTGATCAATTTGGAGATATGAATTCAACATTCACTGGGTTTTCTATTTGCCTTCCTGCACATATAATTGTTTTACTTTTTTTGGTGAAGCAAGGAAGGTAAGAAGATATGTATTATGGTTAATATGTATAAGCTCATGATAATTTAGCACGATTGTTGCCAACATTTCCTTTATTTCTTGTCTGTTGTCTGCACTAGTAACTGCAGAATTCCCTATATAGAGGGACATGAGAATGGTTCTTCAGCTTGTGTAGACCGGACCACGCCGACCCTGTAGCTCTTGCAGGGCACCCATCCCCTGAATTCCCTGGTTTTCTGATCTGGTGATCAGTTGAGCCACGTGAGCACTGAAGTTGCAGAGATATGTTACTGCTGAAGAGAGACTGTGCATCTTCAGTGTAAGCTATGACAAACCATCCTGCAGGGGAGTGCCGAACCAGCAGGGGCGCAATGAAGCCAAGAATTCCCAGTAGAGACATGAGGTTGGTGTGGAGGGGACGCTTTATCCTCTGTGGTTTCCTTTCTTGAGTCCAAAAGATGACCTAAGAGTGTGTGATTGACATGTGACATGTGACATTTCCATGCTCAAACACAGTGCAAATTTCTTGTGGAATTCTTCACAGGAATATATTTTCTTGTTTGTTTTACTGTTATTACATACATCTTATATATTTTTAAAAATAAATTTTCATACATTATATTTTAATTATTTTTCTCATCTTCCATTTTTTACTCTAGGTCTTTCTTACGTCCCCATCACTCAGCTCTTTCTCTCTCTTCACAAAGTAAACACATAGGCAAAAAAAAAAAAAAACCATGAAATAAGAAATATTTTTAGAAAGGATTAAAACAATCAAACATATACATAACACAGAAACACACAAATCAATCCAAACCAAAAATTTTATAAGAACATAAGCCTAGAACCTTAGTTTTGGGCAAAAAGAACTTAGAAAAAACTAACACTTTTGATATGACAGAAAATCCCTTCAAACATGCCATTGAAGTCATTCTATGTTGGCGATCTACTGCTGGGCATGGGTCCACTCTTGAATGTGGTTAATATACTCAATGAGACTCCATTAGAGAAAACCAATTCTTTGGTAACCAAATGTCAATTGCTAAAACTCCTTGCTTCGGGTTGAGAGCCTGTGTCTGTGTCTTTCTGTAACCATGAAACCGCATTTGGATTGAATCTGTGCAGACATTGTGTATGCTGTCACACTCTCTCTAGGTTCATGGGCACATGTGTCCTGTTATGTATGGAAGACAGTTTTCTTATCCTTCTGCTCTGGCTCCTACAGCCTGTTAAGTTTTAAATGTTTCTGGAAATAAAGTCTAACTATTGAGTGATTGTGGGCAAATAAGGATAATGGTACTCTCTTATACTATTTTCAGCTTCTATAGGGCCTTTCTGATCATGAAAGCTTAGGGAGTTATCCTGTGCCAGGCTGTGAGGTGTTCACATGATGACTCATGTATTGGGAGGCAGAACTGTCCATACAGGCAGATACCTCTCCTCAAAGACTCGCAGGTTACAATAAAATACAAGGCTCACCCTTGTTCTTTCTACTCAGCACTCTGCAATAACTCAGATAATGAGACCACTGAGACAACACTGATAGCTAAAGTAAAAATCTCATCCAGATATAACCAGTGTTGCCTACAGTTTTCTTCACTTTATGATATTTGATGAGTATATATTAACAGCAGACCCATAAAACCACATTATTATCTGAACTCAAAAAATATTGTCAACTCAAAGAAAATGACAAATTTAGAACAAGGCAACTATTAACATTTTGTTACTAATAACAAGGGTAATTAATGTTTCTCTTTACTCCGTGGTGCATGTTCTTCTACTCCCAGTCTTCTCCCATAGTTTTCTCATGTCACACAACTCCAGTACTCTATATCTTTATATTTGAATTCTGATTCAAGAGCCTATATTTACACAGAACTTTCTTATCACCTTAATTTTAGCTTGCTTTACTCCGTTTTCTCATTTCTCAATTTCCCAACACCACTTCATGTTTGAACCATTCCCTTTCCAGTATTCCTCATGTGATTCCATTTTGTCCCTGTTTTACTATACAGCCTCCCATAAGTCCTCAGACTCTAATGACGCTTTTCTAGTCACTTGGCTTCTTCAAATTAAACCAACAAAGCCAATATTCAAATCTTGGAACCACAGATGAGTGAGAAAATGAAGCATTTGTCTTCATAGAGCTTGGTGACCTCACTCAGGATACTTTTTCTTGTTCCATCCATTTAAGCAACAGATGTGATCATTCATGTTTTAACACAGAACAATATTCCATTGTCTTATATGTCCCACATTTTCATTATCTACTTATCCTGCATTGGAAATCTAGTTTGGTTCCATTTCCCAGATGCTGTTAATAGGACAACAATAAACATGTTTTTTTGAGTTTTCTAGAATAAGATATAGAGTCATTGAGAACATGCTTGGGAGGGTTATAGCTGGGACCCAAAAGTTTTAGTCATTACTTATTGTAAAATCTTAAAACTCACTTCCAAAGTTATTACACTACTTTATGTTGCCATCACTGATAAATAAGGACTACCCTTTCCCTTCATCCATGCCTGCCCTTGTTGCAATTTATTTCATTGATTATAATCATTTTAATTGATATAAAAACATAACAACGAAATTATTTAATCTACATTTTACTGTTAGCTGAGGACTTTGGTTGCAGGACATAGAGAAACCAATCATGAACAGAACAGGTATTCTCCCTCCTGGCAAGGTTTTCTACTGCAGGAAAATGCTATGAAGCCTGCAGGGAGAGAAAAATTAACAGTGATCTCACCCTGTACCAGACCTTGCAGTGCACACTATCAGCTTTCCAGGAAAACCTACCCACTAGTGCCTGTTATGTAGTGACCAACTACTTTCTAATTGTATCTATGACCTGCTACACAGGGAAGATTCATCATAGGAAAACATGTTCAAAACCCATGGGTGTGGATGAGATAGGGCATAGTAACCTCAGTTGCCTTTCTAATGGTCATGTTGAAAAACTGCTTTACACTACTTACGGTTACACTCAAAGGATTAGTGCAGGGCTCAGCTTATGTGTAGTATGTAATGATATATGCGGACAGTCATGAATGGCCAAAGTACTGAGAATGAGTGGCTAAGTTCTCAGACACAGATGCATCATCTGTATCATCCTCCAATCC